TGGTCGAAATGACAGACTAAGATCGCCGCAAATTCTGCAACTTTGCATCATTGGGTGGCTTGGTAACACCGCATCTCGTACATTCCAATGCAAAAGGTTTCATTGGGGACTGTCGTCCTGCTTCGAAATGATTTTCACTTGCGTACAAGCGGTCTTCGTAGGTACAGCCGCGTTACATCTAAGATTTGCGAGTTGGGGTGGCTGAAGCTCAAAAATATATTTGAATTTTCAATGTTAGTTTTTATCCACAAAATGATCATCGGCAAGAGACATATGTTTCTAGCAAGTAAATTAGTTCCTCGTAGAAATCTAATTTCAAGAAGGTTACGCCATTATGACCAGTTCGACATTCCTCTTCACCGTACTTGCATAATGGATTGCATACAATGCTGGCATATTGATGTTTCGGTCGTAAGTGAAGTAAAGTATTTTAGAAGTGCTGATATTGTCAAAACTTCTACAATTCCTTATCAGCTTCCTGGTGCTCTTAATGCTTCAGATACAATTTTCTCAACATGTTTAGAAAATACAACTTACAATAGGTAACACCTAAATCCCTAACCGCTGTACATCTAATCAGGTTATTTCCATCAATACTATATTCAAAATTTATGAATTATCTCTTTCTTGTGAAACTCACCCCCTTACACTTATCTACATTTAGTGTTATTATTATCGTTACACTAGTTCTGAATTAGGTCAAGCTGGCTCTGAGGTTCCAGGCAACCAGTGACGTTAAATATTGTGCGATATAATTTTAAATCATCAGCAAAACCAAGTTTTTCTACTGTGAAAGCATGTAATAAATCATTTATAAAAATTAGAAAGTGATCAATTTTATCAAGAGCTTTAGTGAAATCCGTATATATTACGTCTACCTAGCTACTATCATCAAGAGCTCGTCCAATTACCCTTTCATCTTTTTTACTTAAGACTTTGGAAAGGATAGTTGAGGGATGGCCAAATCTGTCACCCTTACTGTGGTACCTCGTGGTGAATGAACTCCTCGTTAGGCTCAGCAGTGCGGGTGTCTTCGTGCAAGCATATGCTGTGAGATTGTGCAGGGCGCTTTGCGCGCTGTGGAACCATGGTGTAGGGAAGTGGATCTTTCTGTCAACGCTGGAAAGACGGAGCTCATCCCATTCACTAGGAGAAGAAGGTTTGACGAGCTTGTCTTGCCGACCGATCTTCTTCTTAGTTCTATCCCAGTCAGTAAAATATCTAAAAATTATCCTGGACTGTAAACTGAACTGGAGAGAGCACGTTGAATTTAAGGTTAACACGGCTCGCAATTCATTGTGGGCTTGTAGACGCGTTGTTGGTGTTAGGTGGGGGCTTACACCTAAGGTGGTTCAATGGCTCTACCCGACAATAGTGCGTCCATCTTTATTGTACGGCTCCTTGGTTTGGTGGCCTTGCACTGGAACTGAGATTACTAAGGCCAAATTCGATAAAATTCAGCGATTGGCCTGTATCAGCATTACAGGCGCAGTACGGGCAACGCCACTGAGTGCAATGGAAGCTCTGCTGGATCTCCCGCCGTTGGATCTAGTGATCTGCGCAGAGGCGAGAGTAGTCGCACATCGACTCTGGAGTCAGGGCAGCTGGGCCTTCTTGAATCCTGTCAAGGATCATACTTCCATTCTGGTCGAACTGTAAAGGAAGGATCCTGTCCCTCTGAGCAGGGGCGATGTGATTACCCCAAAGTATCGCTTCAACCGCATGTTTGATGTGGAGTATCCCAAGGAGGGAGGAGTGGGACGCCGGCTACCGGAGGCTCATGGGAGTGGGTGGGCAAGTCTGGTACACGGACGGCTCGGTCACCGAAGAGGGCTCTGGTGCCGGGGTCTCGAGGCATAGGACTTGGCTACCTCTGCCTCTTGGTGGATACACCACGATTTTCCAGACGGAAATCGTTGCGATTCTGGCTTGTGTATCCCTCATTTTGGAGGGGGGTGGGCCTAAGAGTAGAATAACAATCGTCGCCGACAGCCAGGCTGCAATGAAGGCACTAAATGCCTGTTGTGTTGCAATGCCGGGAGGCTCTGTATTGTCTAGCAGCGTGGCATCCGGTATCGTTAGTGTGGGTACCGGTGACACGCTGGGATAAAGGGCAATGAGACGGCGGACGCTCTGGCGAAGACAGGATCAGCCAGCAACCTCGTTGGTCCTGAGCCCGCTTTAGGGGTGCCCGCGCTAAGAGTTAGGAGGGAAATGGAGAAATGGATTGCAAGACAACACTCTCAAAAATGGAGAAGCATCTCCAGACATCTACGTCAGGCACGGGACTGATTGCAGAGCCCAACGCTAAGGATAGACGTTTCTGCTTATCTTTGGATAGAGTCAACCTAATGTTGCTGGTGAGACTGTTGTCTGGCCATAACACGTTAAGGCGACACCTGCACGAGATGGGGTGGCTGAGGATACCTTGTGTAGCGCTGCGGGGTAGAAGAAGAGACCTTGGCGCACGTTCTGTGTCGCTGCGAGACTCTTATCTACTACAGGCAGACTATACTGGGGTCCATCACTTTGGACCCCAGGACGTTAAGGAGCTTGAACTCTAGGACCTACTCAACTTCGCTGGAATGGCGAGGCTTGAGGTCTAAGAAATGTGGAGGTGCACAAGGGCATATTATTTTTGTCACCGCTCTTATACACAGAAAAGAATTTCGCTATTTTCCACATATTTGGAAAAGTATTTGTTTTTAAGCATAAGTTGTATAAAAAGGAGAGATGAGTACCTTATCCTTATTTAAAAGTGACGGTATATTGACTTGACCAGATGTCATTTTGTTCTTCAGTTTCTTGATAGCGGACAGAATCTCAGATTCCTGGATAGGAGTAAAATCAATAACTGAGCTTTTATTGGTAGCATGCTTACTTTAATTATCGTTATAAAACATTACTCCAGGAATCCTGGTTATGCCGTGTCTGGATTGAACAAAGTTCCAAAACCTTTTTGGATTAATATGTAGCGACTCTTGTATATCGTCAATATAACAACTGAAAGCCTGTTTTGTTTTAGATTTTAATAGTTGTCTAATAATTTTGAACTCCGCTAAATCTATATTACTCCCAAAGTTTTTATACTTTCTGAATTTTGCCTTCTTAATTACTTCTGCATCAAACCATGGCGGATATCTATGACTGTAATGTCTGTACACTGGTACATACTTCACAAATTCATAAATTTTATTATACCAGCATACTAGGAAGTCACAATTTGTCCCGCATAATTCCTTATATAAAGCTGCAAAATTTGCTTTTCTGAAAATATATGTTTTACAATTAGAGTTGAATTTAAAATTAGACTGCTTAAGAAGTACATCCGAAAATTCAATAGCTAGAGCAGGATCGTAGTTACCTTCAGAGACAATTGGATACTCATCATAAACTACTATACAATTAAAATATGATAATAGCAAATCCAATAATCTTCCCAAATGATTTTCAACATTATTGTATTGATCCATGCCAAGTAAGTCATATAATTTCATTTCAACTGTTCTGTATTTGTTGTATGTTGCCTGGGTAAACTTTTTTTCGGCCATATTGTGGTTGAATGGAAGAGTAGCTAATAACCTAAACTTCGCCATAATGTGGAAGATTACCAATCAAGTCACTTTATTACGTAGTCGTGCCATAAGTTCTGTCCCATGATAATCTCATGATAAAAATGAAACAAGATAAGATATATTTATATGAAAGATATTATTTATTCGACAACATTTTTAGAATTCATAATCAAACAGTTTTATTCAAAATGTCCCCCCTTGGCCTTCACACACTGCTTCAATCTCGCGGGCCACTCATCTATCACTGCACGCACAGCTTCCAAAGGAATAGCTGCCGCTGATCGGATCAAATCCGCCTTCAGGGACTCGATATTACGGTGGGCTTTGGAGCAGGCCAACTGCTCTAGCAGGTCCCACAACTTGTAGTCTAAAGGATTGAGGTCCGGACTCCCTGAGGGCCAATCTTCCGCAGCAATGAACTCTGGCACATTGCTTTCCAGCCAGCGCTGCGTACTCTTAGCCTTGTGAGCGGGGGCGGAATCCTGCTGGTAGACCCAGTGTTGGTTGGCAAACAATGTACCACTTAAAGGCTTGACGATAGGATCCAGTATGTCGCTCTGATAGTTTGCCGCTTTTGTTTTCACGCCCTGTTTACAGAAATGGAGCTGAGTGACCCCTTCGTAGGACACCCCCCACCAAACCATGACTGACGCAGGGTGGTGGCCTCTCTCAACTCTCGGAATGATCTCCGAAGCTTCCTGTGAACTCCTTGCATACACTTTGTCATTTTGTCGGTTGAATTTTTCTTCTATGGTGAAGATTTTCTCATCCGTGAACAAAATCTTTCGGAATCCCCCAGCTGCGTACCTCTCCAAGAGCTTCTTGGATCTTGTCGCCCTGATGTGTCGCAAGGTGGCCGTAAGTCGCTGGCCCGTACGTCTCCGGTAAGCCCCTAGCCCTAGGTCTTGTTTAATGATGCGCGACATCATCCGGACAGGAATCTTCATTTCCCTGGATAGGATCTTCTGCTTCCGGAGTGGATTCCTTTGAATCCTGGCTTTTACGGCTTTGATGGCTGCTGGAGTCCTTACTTGACGAGGTCTTCCGCTTCTTGGCCTGTCATCAACAGAGGACGTCTCATTGTACCGCTGAATGGTCCTAGACACAAATTTACGCGATATTTGAAGGCCGCGTAAGAGTTCAAAAATCTGACTAGCACTGTGATTACACTTATGTAAAGCTATCACTGCAATACGGTTCTCTGCCTTGCCCCACTCCATCGTTATGCTTCGAGAGATCAATACAAACTGAGGTATATGTAATTACCCGAAAAGCGCTTAATCAACTGACACCACAATGTAAACAATCGGACAAGTATTAACAGGTCTACACTTGTTTGAAAACGAGGGACAGAACTTATGGCATGACTACGTATTATTACATCTCAAATTTTGCTTAAGATGGATTATGTGAACATTTTCTTACCGGAATGCCTATTTGCTGGTGTGTTACTGCTCTGCAACCCCCTGGCTTGGATCTCCCTGTCATAGGCGTTCTCGAGAGCGCACAGCTCGCCCAAGATCGCATCGAGATCGACATCATGCGAGTCCTCCAGGTTGGCCATGGAGAAGCGGTAGCTGTCAATCCGCGGCGCTGTCAGGTCTTGGCTCAAAGGCGCCGGTAGCGCCGACACCGCGGCGGACGACGGTGGCCCCAGCGGATCCAAGCCCTAAAACAATACAAATTTTGAGTTGATGAAATCACCGATTAATATTAAAGTATTGTCATAGAAGATGCCTAACCATATGCTGTGTTTGGACGTTCACTTATAAATTCAATGATAATAATCATTTATTATCCATTTGACATAGTAGCAGGTGTTGGATTCGTAATATCACTAAATTAATACAATCAACAACAGCAAAATATATAAATACACATAAAACAGTCACGCAGTTACAAAATCAGAGTCACAGTAAAAACACAATTATTTAATAGCATATTTTAAAGTTTACTGACTGTTTACTTTTAATTGAAGTGGCAATATATTATATATTTTAGGCTCCAAAATAGTGGCTGATTTGCCGCCTTTGCCATATTTTGCGAAAGGCAGAAGGAGGCCATCACTTTGCCTAGTGTAAAAGGTGTGTACACCCTTATTGGACAAGTGCTGATATCTGTTTTAGTGTATACGGGGTAATTGAGTATGTACCATAATTTTAACAGGCGATTCTTTGACTAATAAGTAGTATATTTTTTGTCACTAATATTCGTTCAGATCCCACTGGAGATGCCACTAAACTTAATAAATGGGGCTAAATTAGCTCCTCAATGTTACAAATAGAACCCCCAAATTACAACAAAATTAGGTAAAATATATTTAAGAAATTTACGAAAAAACAATTTTTTGATAATTTTTAACACCCTGTATCTTGAGAACGAAAAATTTGCGAGCCTATGTTTATATGAACTTTTTAACTTGAAATTACTCAAAGAATCGTCTGTTAAATTTATGGGTACATACTTAATTAACACGCTGTATACAATGTGAATAAAACTGGTCTCAAAATTGAGCGCTGGTGATGGCGATATCTATTTTAACTGGATCAGAGCTTACTTCTGAAATAAGGTTGTTACTTCGACGAGATAAACATACTATACATATTGTGTTCGATTGGAGAGAAAGGGTTGAATCCAACAATAAGATATGCCAACAATAACGTACTGCATCGGTTTTTGTAGAAGCTATTCATGATTAACACAGTCGAATGCCCTGCTGAGATCACACAAGATCCCAAAAAGACACTCGCCAGCCTCAATCAGTTGGTTAAGTTCTTGAAAAAAAACCAGCAAAACCTTTTGGCAGCAAATTGAGTTTTCAAGAAGTGATAAGAAAACAAGTAATCAGTCTTCCATAAAAGTGGAATATTCACATACAATTTTAGGGCTGTATTATTATTTGTTAACCAGCTTTGATTGGAGAAAAAATGCACAAAAATGCAGAAAAAGATGCTTTTTGACAAAAAAAGAAACCGATAACATCGTTTTTTAGTCATCTCCAGACACACCATGAAAGAGTCAGTCGAAAAGTATTAAGAATATTCCACCAGGCATGCTGTTGGAAAAAAGGGGCATGCGACAAATATCCTCGAGGGAGAGTATTTAAGCAATACCACTCTGGCTTCAATATACTGGTAATCGTTTTTGCAAGAGCCAGTGCTCTACCGTACTTTCACAAAACATAGACTATAGAGACAAAATTTTTGCTTTTCAATATGACATTTGCGTGTAACAAAAGACATCTAAATATCTCAATCTGTTTTAGACAAATTTAAGGTGATCAAAGATGGGAAAGTTTAAACATATCATGCGGATATCAACGGAGCATTTCTGAGCCTATGTTCATATAAAGGGAATTTAGAGAATAATGTAAATAACTTACAAAATCAAAACGTGAAGCTAGCTGTATCACTCTGCTAGAAGCATTCGCTTAATTTTTTTAATGTAATATTGCGTGCTTTTTTATCTCATTATTCACCCTGATTATATAATTAGTGATATGAGAAAGATCTTTGGAATAGTATTGAATGGTGACGAGGTATACTTAAGTATGTTTCTTCTAGATATACGTTTCAAATAAATAAGATGGCGTGGAAGTCACTATTAATTTCTGTGCAAAAGTGATCTAATGTAATTTTACAGTTTTTTCCACATCCAGCCATCCAATTTCTTTCAAGTTTGCTGATTTATGATCACATTTTTTCAGTCCAAAAACAAATCGACAGCAATAATTTTGCACTTTCTGTCTACGTACCTTCCTCGCAGTGTCCAGGCAGCCGTAATATGTCGCCGTAATGGATTGTGGGCATGATTAATGATTCGGATAAGGTTTTTTTAACATAATGTGAAGTGTTTAATTTTGAATAAGATTTTTGTATAATACTGTTGATATGATTATGGGATGTCACATTTTCATCAAACGTCACACCAAGAATTTTTAATGTATGTATTTGTAAATTCTAACCTGCCGTTTAATATGCTTATGTTAAGATTTAACTTTATGTGGTTATATCTTTTTTGACAAAATAACATTGAATTACACTTACTGGAATTTAATGACAAGTTGCGAATAGTAGCAGATCTGACAACACTCTCTATATATTCATTCATTAATTAAGCCTTTTGTAGTTGATAAGTTTTCCGGATTAAAGTGGTGGATCAACTTGTATCATCTGCATAAGCAGCCGTAGAACAGTGTGACAAGATAGTTTGAAAATCGACAGTGTAAATTATGATAAGTAGAGGCCCCAGAATTGAGCCCTGGGGAACTCCTGAAACAGTTTGTTTACTTTCAGATACGGATGAACGTTGCAAACGTATGACACTTGAAGGAGAATATTGACTAACACATTGTATGTTCAAACATCACAAATCGTTGGCCTTTGGCCACTTCTACATCCTAAGCTAAAGGCCCCTAATTTTTCTTTTGTTTGTGAATGATCTACCTCCGCATATCAGTGAAGGTAAATCGTTCCTCTATGCCGATCATACATGATAGCAATTTCAGCTGGTAGCCCTGAAAAGTTGTTTCAAAAATCGGTTAATTGTGAATTTCAATAAGACCATGATTATGGAATTTCACATGAAATACAGACACCCAACAAATATTCAGAACACCTTCAATGGGACCATTATACAATCATCGAAGTCACTAAAATTCTTGGATTCACATCTCTCAAAAGACGATAATATAAACTCTGTGTGGGGTAAGCTAAGTGAAAGTCATAAGTTCCCTAAAAAATCTCTCGAATATAGAGTTTTTAATAGACATTTATTATGCAACAGCTTACTCAGCTATCACTTAAGCCGCGTACAGACCGAAAATCCAACGCCGAGCAAACGAATGCAAACACATGTGACGTTGGCGTTTGTTGTTGGAAGGTATTGGAATGCGCTCGTCCACTCATTGTCTACAGCTAAATTTAGTTTCCAGTTGGAGCGTGTCGGTTTAAGTTTGGTGCTAATGTCGAGCGACGAGACTCCTCTCATAGAATGCAGACAGCGCAACAAATCCTGTCCAGACCAAATCAAACCACCCTTTGGTGTACCGATCAAGGAGCGAAGAGCGAACGCAATAGAACGTCAACGCCGATCTTGGAAACCGTTGGCTTATGTTGGCTCGCGCCGTACACACCGATTCGAACACCTCCAAATCTGTATTTAGATCAGACGTTTCCAGATCGATAGATTGGTAGAAGAGGTGCCATTGAATGGCCCCCAAGATCGCCAGATTTATCATCTTTGGATTTCTTTATGGCCATTTTCAACATTTACTTGCCTAACGGGTCAGTTCATTCTTCATTTTTAAATTACTTTGCTGCCAAATGTATTGATCTCCACTAATGATGATGTATCAGTTTAATTTAAGCTTCAAATCAATAAATCTTCAAAACTACTGAACTGAAGTACATTAATTTTATATCATTATAAAGGGAATTAAAAGACCTTTAAAATAAGGTATCACTCGACCCACATTTCCATTTAAGATTTTAGGGTTGGTGTCACCCCCGCCCAGGGGGCTACACGTGTTAACGTGATTTTTTGCCGAACTTCTGACCCCTCGAAAAAAAATCGACGGGTCTGAGCGTTTTTTAAAAAAAAACTGAGCTGCCAGTAAATGCGTCTGTTTCGTTTTCGATGCGCCACCCTATATACAGGGTGACTTCGAAGTTGAGTCATTTATTTTAACAGTGAGTACATCTGATCCCCCCCGTAAATAAAGAAGTAAATAAGAATCATGTCCACAAGTTCAGCATTTTCGTAAACATGTGCCATTTTTTATTTCGTTTGAGCCACGCAACAAACACCACTATTCACTCACGCGTTACCGACTGACACATTGACTGAATAGAACTGAATAAAATTGGAGTAAAACATCGTGATCAGCGTTTCAAATTCTTTCGCTTTTTTGTTTCCGATGCGATGAACCGATAAGGCTAAGGATTATATCCGTTGTCGCCAAACACGAGCACATAATATTATTATTGAGACAGGGCGGTACTCAAACTTCTAAAGGGCTATAACTTTGTTACTTTAATTTTACCACAAAAATGTTAAAGGAAAAAACATTTCTTTTGTTCAGATCTACTCACTGTTAAAACAAATGACTCAACTTCGAAGTCACCCTGTATATATATATATATATATATATGGTATTCATAGTTAATTGCCTTAACTGTTAGGAGAAAATATCCTTGAATTTCTTTGGGTAGAAGACAAAATATTGCAAAAGTACACTCTTATAACTTAAGCTCAAGCTTTCGAAGATCTATGTCTTCATCGTCTGGAGTAAGTCGGCGAGATTGTTGCTGAAATTATTTTTAAACAACAGTGAAGGGAACACATAGTCGACGAATAAAAAACTGGACTGATGATTTTCGATTAGGACGGAATTATTTTATTATTAAATGGCAAATCATTTTGAAAGGTTTTTTTAATTTAACGTTGATTGATTTTGGAAGAAATTTGGAAATTTAAAAACTATCAACTATTGAAACTTCCTTCGAGATTTCATCTTTTTTTCCACTGATAACCTCCACATTATCGACCGTCACGCAAATATATATAAACATCGATCAACCCTGTTCAAACGTAGTTTCACATATAATGTTGTCATAAGATACAGCGAAATTCCTGAACCGTATAAAAAAACAATCGCTTCCCCTGTTCAGTAATTTCATCAACTGTTTGATCATGTATGTTACATATATTCATATTTTCATAAATATTCATTGCAGCTTCAGTACCTTATTTTAATAAGCACTTTTCTGTATGTGAAACACCCTGTAAAAGGTTCACTTGACACTTGGAATGCTAAGAAAGGCACTGCTGGCATACACATTTCAACAACCACTTATGATCCTGGCAAAACTAACGCGTATTCGTTCAACCAAAGACACGCTGAAGGAACAAGCCCTCTTAGTTTATTCGAATATTGTTCTACCAGTTGAAAGGTCGAAGTGACTGCGTGTTATGAATAAAGCACATATCAAGTTCAGGTCAAGATTCGATCAATCAAACGGTGAGAGTTTTCACTGTAACTTTTATTGTTTTGGTGTACTGCATTAAATGCAGTATGAAATTTTCATGTATATTTTCTAACCAGGGTTAATCACGATAATAATTGTCATAAGTCAAAAAACAGCCAGATGATATATGTTTATCAACAGTTAAGATAAAGTCTGAAAGTATCTTATGGCAGGGTGTGAATAGGGTTTGTTACTTTAAACTTGTCATGCTCGGTTATCTCTGAGACAGAGGTAACGTCGAAGCTTTAGGGTATTGACACGGCAACTTGTTATCCTGGTTTCTGGGCTGCTTTTCGTAACAACAAAAAACTTGGAATATCTGTCCAAGCGCCAGATTATTAAAGTATCCATATCAGGCGTGACTTCCATGCAGTAGGAACCTACCGTTCCCCCGAGTATGAACACGGGCGTGACTTCCATGCGGTACGAAGCTACTGTTTCCCGAGTGAGGTATTTCCATATCAGGTGTGATTTGCTTGCGGTAGGAAGCTACCATTCCCCTGGTTATGGACATATGTGTGACTTCCATGCGTTAGGATGCTACGGTTCCCCCATGCAATGTTTTATGATTTCTAATAATATAATCGAGGAATATCATGGCCATTATTACATACCTATATTGTTTTATGATCAGTATCAAGACAGCTAGTTAACATAATGAATAGACAGTTGTGCATGCCATGAGTCGGTACAATATCGAAGGTACTCTAAAGGTTTTTTCCAAAAATAGGCTTGGCCTCGACAACCCAGTTCTATAAACCCTATCTCTCAAAAAGGAAGTGACTTTGAAATTATCCTGACATTGAAGCCCTTGTTAAGTTGTTTATGTACCACCCTTTTAATAAAAGTGAAAAGGTGCAGGGAATTGTTGTTTTCTCATGTTTATCGTCATTACCATCGTCGTATCCTGCTTTAATTTAATATTTTGTTTTCATTTTGATCAGAATTATGTATTTCAAATTCGACGCGAATTAGAGTTTTTAATTTATTTTAGATTATCTTTGATTTCCATCAATGGTGATAAAATCCACCTGAGTGCTGCAGTCGGAAAATGTAACAAATAACGTTACGCAGGTGAAAGCTATTTCGAAGCAGGACGACACTTCTCTACGAGCGCTAGACAGATACTGACCAAAATCGTTCAGCTCTGATCATGGAGGTGGAAACTTTGCCTTGGAATGTACAAGATGCGGTGTTACCAATGATGCAACGTTGCAGACTTTGAGGCGACCTTGACCTTTTATTTCGACCTAAAATGGTGAGGCGTTAGGTCCTATTGGAGCGTTGCTAGGCATCGCGGTGATGAGCTTCGCTATTTGTCTATACACACTTCTCCCTCGTGCACATTAAACTCAAGCCGTTAGACAAATTTGGTTCTCAATATGGTCCATCCTACATGGAGTCGTTCCAAGTGAAAGGAAAGAATGTCGCATTTTATTGTAAGTATGCTGTGGAAAAAATGTCTTATACAGTCTCTTTTCTTATCGGAATATACGTAGAAAAACCTACGACTGCAAGCAAGAAACTAAAGGTTCCTTATTTTTTGTTACACTACTACTTACTAGAATTTTTCGATGTAATTGAATCGCTTACCGAAACAGCACGAAGTAACTGTGGAATTTCCTGTTCAAGGTCGCCAGATGAATTTATATGAATCTGATCAAGTTGCCGATTTAAGTAAATGACCAGAATTTTGTCACACCCGGTTGAATTCTGCGAGCGCATCGCATCAAATCCAGATTGTTCTGTCACGATTGCTCTAGACATCTGCACAATATGAAGACAACTCTCAGACTAAACCATTGGTGTATTGATCTAATCATTTTATAATGATTTTGTCTGGACAAGTGTTATTAGTGAAGTTCTAGTGAATTTTGATTAAGGTTGACAAGGATTAGGGTATACTTCTTGGTATCATAATCGCAGGTAGGTGCAAAATATCACTTTAAGTGAGTTATGCATAATTTGGCTGTGGCTTCTAGTTTGCGCCTGTTGTATTGCATAGGGAACAGATAATTTTTCGGATTTGGAAATTATATTGAATGACCCGAGTCGCTGCGTTATTAATTAATATCTAACTAAGTTGTACCCGACATTACGGGTTAAACGTTAATTGAGGCGATATCGATACTATTTAGTAGTAATATGTACATTTCCCGTGGATGCGATTTTTAGAACATTTTCCTTCTCTTTTCAACTCAATACATCAACATTTCAATTATAGCTTAAAAGCGCTCAAAAGTAACTTCCTGTAATATTTTGTAAGTTATTCATTGTCTTTTTTAGAATTGGTTATCTCACACCAGGTATCGCCAAGGAAATATTTGGCTCAGCTATTTTGCACAAGTTTAGATTGCGAAACTGAAAATCATAAAATTATTTTATTAAGTGGGTTTTTTAAAAACATAATAACCCCAGTACATGGTGACATTTTAGAGTATATACTAGTCGTATATGTTTATAAGAACCTTTTACCTTCCATGTTCTTTGAGTACTCACTTATTTTCTATAAAAATGTCTCTGTTCCCAGAATCACCAGATATAATATCCCTATTTCTGGCTTACTCATAGTAGGGAAGTGAAACAAAAGATATAAATTGAGAATTATGTTTGATTTATGAGCACCTAACAGTTACATTGTACAGGTTGTATTTCTGATGAGCGACTAAATTGTGTAGAATTTGATGTTGTCACGCCAAATAAACCAGCGTTGAGTCTGGATTTTGATAAGATTTACGCAAAACTCTAATTATTGTAAGTATTGATATTCGGTCTTACGTCAAAAAAGGTGGAAGTCATAGAAGTTACTTTTCAAATAGTGCACACAGCTAACACACTAAATTTGATACTAGATACTTAACAACTGAACTGCAAACATAAAAACATGTTTGGGATAGAAACAGGTATTGGAAATACATACAAAATAAAAAAAGCAAGTTATGATCATCTAGTTCAATTGTTGAGTAGTATAGATACAACCTATTTACTATAGATTCCTTCTGCCTGAATATGATTAAATACGTGTTCCGCAAATGACAATCTTACAAACACGACCGCCTACAGCAGTCAGTTTCGAAATAAATGTAGATCCCTATCTCAGATCGGTAAGTACATACTTGGAATAAATTGGTATACAATATTCTTTGCATTATTAAACATGGTGTGGGCACCCAGTTAGCAGCCGAGTGACTATTCATAGATGTTGGATCAAATGAAAATATAGAGTGATTCACAAACCAGTGGAAATATTAGATGATACCATTGATTCCATCGTCACAGACTCCATTTTTCTTAAAAGTAAATGAATATTTAAAAAATGACATTAACCTTTCGCTTGTCAAGCCCTCTCGAAATTATTCTAAGCTAATTCTCAGAATTTCACAATATTGGAAAAAGAAATCCCATAATCTACGGCAACAGTGGAGGCAACGCTGGCGCCTAAAGACGATGGTCCACACGTATACACTTGTAAGCATAAGTGGTAGGCGGGGCCAAGTTACAAATGTCATTTTTCACGCGGCCTACCAAGGGACTGGGTTAGTAATGTGCTTTCTAGTTCATATCGGTGAACCAGTCCAATAGGTATTTCACTAAAGCGAACTACTTCGCGAACGAAATATTTTACACAAGAATAATGTCAGTGAAAGCATCGCCTCTCAATCCTTCATCCGATCGTTAGAGTTAAGTTAGTATTTGGATGGCTAACCGCTTCCTAACCACCTCGTATTGTTGTTTTTTTTAGTTTTCAATTTTGTTAATTAACATGAACGTTTCAAATTAAAATTATTAACGTAAATTGTCGCTTACATAGTAGTACACGTTTTGTTACAATCTCAAATACTGTGCGATACACGTTTGTTTTCACCAGTTCTAAGATTTTTGATAAATATGATCAGGATTGCCAGATATTCTTTTGGGGAGACGAATCCTCTTTTTTAGAGTTAAATTCTGCTATCTCTATTTTTCTCAAATATTTTTAAATGGAAATTTGAAGCGAATCCACAAATTCCATTTTACTATTAGATTAATTTCTTCATGAGCCGCAATCGGCGTTCGTTTTATTTTTTTTTCCTTTCTTTATGTCTTTATTACTAATGACATTTGTCACCTTTTTGCATAACTTCCAGGGAACCAGTTATACAACCTTCTGCTTACGGTTGTGTTCCGTCTCCTATCTCGTTCTCGTTCGTTCACTCACAACTAGTTCGATTGTATCATCGGGATCCTGTAAAACCAGTCGTTCTTCGTGAATGAGTGTATGAGTTTTTGAAGGAATGATGCACTAGTTCAATAATAAGAATCGTTCGACTGAACTATTCGTTCGCGAACTACACACCACTAGATTCGGCGGACCTAGAAATTTTATTCGTGTGTGTATTTTCGAGTGTCAGTGGTATCACGAAACTTCAAAGGTATGTTCGGTTATGTCGGTTTTTTGACATTATGTAGATTTTTTATGACATAATGTAGCTTCCCCTACAAGATGTCAATTAGGAGCTAACTGTCGTTCAATTCATTCTCATTTGTAGCAGGCGTGGAATGAACTATTTTATATATCACACTACCAGCTATTTAGTCCACAAGTTGACATTTTATCGTTTTTTTTTTTGTATTATATAGGTTCTCTTACGTAATAACCCTAACGGTAATTGAAGTAGTGTTTTACGACAGAGCAGCGCATTAAAATTGTGAGAATGTGTTATGTGTTAATATCAAAAGCGAGAGTTATCCCATTAACATATCCAATCATTTTAAATCATTTTAAATTATTCTTTTATATATAATGAGCACACTACATGAATATTTCCTGAAAATCTATACTATTGTTAATAGAAATCAAATTTAAAGTTTGAATTTTTAGAACCGAGCCAAAAACGCTATTCCTGTGATGGCGCCGGCAGAGGACGTCTGTGACGTCACACGCCAGTAAACACGATCACGAGCTGTCAGCCGAAGTGAATTTCATTATTGTGCTTGATTTTGCTATAAAATCATAGACAAAATGGTCTATAAATGGTGTGTAGTGCCAAAATGTACGAATACGTGTATAAATAGTCCACAAACATTGTTTGTTTCTGTTCCAACTGATTGTAAAAGACGAAAAAATTGGTTACTATTAGCTCGGAGAGACCCAAAGGGCATTTCATCGACTTCAAATGTATTTATGTGTGAACATCACTTCGATGTAAGTATAAATTGAATATGTTATCTACTAGGTAGCTTAAATTACCGCTTTTTTTAAGATTGAAATAATATATAACTATCTATAACCTCAAATCTATCTTTGGTTATGTTGAGGATAAGTCAGTGTTGAGGATCAAAGATCCTGTTTATTAACCCTAAACTTATTACTCTGTAGGGTTTCAAAGTGTTTTCTGTTGTTTTGATTATATTATATATCTCAATAATTTTCTATGCTGTGTCATTTTACCTACTTTGCTTATTAGATAGTGACAGTTATGTTGAATTGCAGATGGAAAAAGACACCATTAACTACATGCAGTACAAAATGGGTTTCAGCAAGAAGATACTTTTGACAGAAGATGCTGTGCCAACAAAATTTCATTGTCAAGAAGATCGTAAAAGACCACTGTCTGATGCTGGACTTTCTCGAGGAGCATATGTCAAGAGGAAAAGAATGGATTTGGTCAACACATGTTTGCAAAGTCAAAATGCTACTGAAGCCCAAGCTGAAAGCTTACAAAAAGATGAGAGTTTGATACAAGACATTATTGAACCTCAAGGTATGTCTATAGTCTAAGAGCTGATATACATTTTTGTAACATATTTGAGGCCTTATAAAAACTTGTCTACTACTTCTTCCATTATTTCTGAATAAAAAGGGCAGAACTGAATAAGGTGAGTAACTGTTGTCCCTAGGGGTATTGAGGGTATTTTTCAAAAAAATCATAAAGACATATTTGTAGCACATTGAGATTTTCACAGAATAATATTTATGGTTTAAAATTGATATATTTAAAGTGATAGGTCAGTTTAGTGGGACATTTTACTTGCTAGGTGATCAATAATGCTCAACTTGTACTTCAGGTAATGGGTAATTTTCTCTCAAGCTGTTGATGTTGTGATTCACTACCCCTTATCCAGCACTGCACTTTTTCTTCAGTGATAATGGAAGAAGTAGTAGACAACTTTTCATAGTGCCTTAACGTAATCATTTACATTGAAATTAAGACATTAATTTTGAGTCTTTGTTCTTTCAGGTTTATCAAGAACTCAAGACAGAGAAACTATTACCAACTCTATCATAACTGCAGAAAAATCTGTGCAAGTAACAATAAAAGAGAATGTGCATCATAGGAGCAAATCTGTGCAAACAAGATGCCAGACTACAAGTATTTCTACCTCACCAATGAAAGTTTCTACAACATCTCGTTCCACTTCGCCCTTTAAGATTAAACCATGCAGTCTTCGACCATCACAGTCTGAAATTGTCAAAGCAGTCAAGAGAAATGTTTTTCTTGAAGATGAAAAGTCAGATAGTGATATTTCCTGTATTGAAAGTGGTCGTCATTTATTACCTTTTGTAACTAAATCAGCATCATCATCATCAGGGTTTACCGACTCTGATAGTAATGTTACAGATGCCAATGAGAATATTGAAAAATTAGAGTGCCTCAAAATTACTATGCGTTCAATCTCTAAAAAACCAATGATGTATGTTGGTATTCCAAAAGAATGTTATTTCTTAATCAAATTGTTACATAAACACAAGCATAAAAGTATAACACATTTTGCTATGCTTGAAAAAGATTAGAATGAACATTACATTTTCTGAACTGGAGGATAATTTTGGAATATCATTATCTTATGCTAGTAAATTGTTTCTACAAAATATTCCAATAATAGCTAGTGTTTTAAGACCATTCATTGTAAAAATAGATAAAAAATTGGAAAAAAAAATCTTCCTATTTCATTTAGACATAACTACCATAATGTCAGTTGCATCATATATTGTTTAGAGATTGATATACAAAAACCATCAAAGGCTCTTCATCAGTCATTGACGTGGTCAGAGTACAAAAAGGGGAATACTGTGAAGTATTTAGTATCCTGCACACCTAATGGTTTAGTTAATTATGTTTCGCATGGGTTTGGGGGCAGAACCAGCGATGCCACAATAGTAGAAAATTGTAACTTTCTAGATGGATTACCCCAAATATCCTGTTGCTTAGCTGACAGAGGCTTCAAACACCTTGAACAAATACTTCATGAAAAGGGACTAAAACTATTAAGGCCACCCAGTGTAAATGCTGGTGCAAAGTTGTCAAAAACTGAAGTTCGACAAACTAAAATAATAGCTAGTTTGCGGATTCATATTGAAAGGGTAATAAGGCGTTTGAGAGAATTTCATATTTTAAAGCAACATTCAGTGATAAATACTAACATACGTCGTGTACTTGATCATGTCATTATAATTGCATGTGCTCTAATAAATTTGCAAGATTCTCTTATTAAATAATGGGTTTTTGCCTGTTATGATACTTTATACTTAATTATTATCATGTAATCTCCTCTTTTGTGACATACCATTTGAACTTTGTGTTTTGTACTTGGCTGAATAAATACTTCTACTGCTACTACTATAAATAAAGAAATAAATGATGTAAAACCATGAATAAAATAATAATAAAACAAGAAATATGCACTGCATAGTTTTTTATTTGATAATCACGGACTAGTGCTACGATACAAAATAGGATATATATTTTTTTTCCAAAAAATATACAAGTTTTTTATTAAGTTGTTGACATAATCATCTTCGTACTTCACTAGAATAATATCTACATTTTTTGTTTCTTCAAAGTTGCTATCAGCAACACAAAAATAACATTTTTTCATACCAGTTGCATTCATCTGTAATTGAACCTGTGCCTTACATTTCTCTGAAATAATTCCATTTTTTAAATAATTGTTCTTAGCTTTTGCTTTGGTAGGGCATTTTATTTCAACAATGGCATCTTTCAATAAACCATCAGGAGATGCTGCAAGCATGGGATTGTCTTGGCATACATAAAGTCCACATGTTCTGATTTTTTTGTTCAATGTTGTACTAACTGTCTTCCGGACAGATAGCTCCAAACTTCTACCTCTTTTCATTGCAATAGTATCTGGTATTTTTGCGCCCATTATAGTAGCAACCAATGAACCATCAGGTGTATGACATACGCTCACTTCATGTGCCTTTGAAGCTGTGATACGGCCATACCTCATCTCATACCACAAGCTGCTCTTGTACTGCATTCCTGTTGCTTCTTCAATTGCACTGATAGCAGCTCTGTTGAATGTTGTCTTCATTATTTCTACAAGATTGTCTACGTCTGCTTGAATTTTTGGTGGTTGGTCCATTATGAAACAGTGCAGCGAATACCGCATAACATTTGAGTGTTTAAAATCGTCCTGATATTTTATCAATTCACAGTGTTGAAGTTTTCTTTTTTTGGCTCCCAAAATAAAGTCTGTGTAAAGTGCTGATGTACTTGGTCTGTGCGGTACTTCCTTTTTCGACATCTGCTGCACCGTGATGTACTTCAGAGTAGTCCCTACTCTTGACAATGTTGGCTTTTTCCAATAACATTCCACCGAAGTAGATGGAGGTTCCTCACTGCGCCGATGTACCCACATCAAAAAGGCGACTGCATGCTTGCAGCCTCCTGCTGAAGCAGCACAGCCATGGCACTGACAACTTATTATCTCGCTTTCATTTTCGTTGATAACCATTGTCACATTATAAGCTTTTGATCTCACTTTGTGCTCTGGGCACATTTTGCACTTAAGTCCATGCTCCCGGTGCAGCTGCACATAGCCAATTGCATCGTCTCCGTAGGACTCCCTTCCAGACCTGTAAAACAAAAGCAAAACATGAAAGTATGTTTTATTCATGAAACCATATATGAACCATATTATCATATTGAACTGAAAGCTTTTTTCATTACATCAACATAACCTAAAATAAGATTGATTTTACAAATCTTTTAATGATCATACATAAAGGTTAGTAGGTATAAATAAATAATTTCTATTACTACTTACATTGTTGTTTTCACATGTTTGAGTTCTGCAGCATAGTAGTCCGCATTATTTTTGAAGAAAAATGCTACCATTAATGCGTCAACCTTAGGTAGATTGCTGTTATCAGCTTGCACAAAATTTAGGTCCATTTTGAAGTCCACAACGAATAATGATGCCAATAGTTGAAAGATTGATCAAGAAAGTAATAAAAATCTGTTTACGAAATAGAATTATGATAGAATATCTCACAGAAAGCCAGCAAAAACGTACAACGCGATGTTTGTTTACTTGCATGTGACGTCACCAGAGTCGCAGCCAATCGCAGGGCGTTTCTGTGACCCATCGAATTTTTAAAAATAGCTGATTTTTATTTGATTATTTCCCAAAAAATATAAATATTTAGGTGTACATTAAAGTACTATGTGTTTTCTTATTCTATTATCTAATAGGATCACCACAATTCGCAACTTATTTTCAATACTGTCAAATAGCCTATTGAATATTACGCACCTCAACAATATGAGTAAATATGGGACCACGCCTTATATGGCGAGGAAACTTTGGATCCTAACCCCAAGTGACTTCCTCTTTTGGATCCTATTCGAGCAGAAATTGTATTTAAAGAATCCGCAGACAATTAATGATGATGCAGCAAAACATTTCTCAAGTTATAGGTGGAACTGAGCTGCAATTGTGTTACTAACAATTTTAGACGATGGATGGTCACCATTAGAAACCACCGGGAGAGCGAGGTTACTTATACTATACAACAGCGTGGCAACAGTTCTTATCTCTATCTCGATTTTAGTAACGCATTCGACACCATAAGCCATGATCTACTCCTAGGCAAGTGTACTTATCTTGGATTTGTTAAACCGGAACCACGTTTCCCAGCGTCTTAAAGACAAACATCAACAGGTGGTTCTGGGCACAGGTATTTGAAATTCAGTTCTAGGGTTGTTCTTAATATATACATTTGATATTGTCAAAATTAAAAACTCAAGTGTAACTTATGCCGATGATTTTGAAATGGCTGAGGCTAAAGCTAATATTGATCTCGAAAATACTATTCTACTATAAATAACATTAAATATAACGCTTTCTTGCAAGAAAGAAAAGTGGAGACATCTATAAGCAAGCATAGACCTGAAAATATTCAGGTCAGATTTAAAATGTAATGATGTATACCAAAAGTTAGGTCTACTCATGGACGAATGCCTACGTTTTCGAACGCATGTTAACACCGCAATCAAAACATGCTATTTTAGGCTGAAACTGTTATACACCAACAGGAACCTCTTTCAGTTTTAAAACAAAAAATTCAAAATTCTTGTTGCCAGTTAACAAATAATCTTTGAAATATGATCATGTAACTGGCCAAATCAAAAATTTAGGACGGTTCAAAATTATTAACCTGTCGAAATATTTATTTTTGTCAATTATAAAATTTATTATAACCATTCACCACTACGTTTACTGAACAAGCTAACATTTAGAACAAGCATTCATTATTTAAATTTAAGGTATATGGGCACATTATCAATATCTAGACATCGCACAGCCATGTTTCAGCGCTTTTACTCATATAAACTCGCTAAACATGATAATGCATATAAGAAATACAGCAAATCATCATAAATTTAAATCACTATTTAATGTTGCGTTGTGATGATAATCACGCAATAAAGACATATTATTATTATTTTAAATTGTTGGTGTTGCCTAAAAACAGAATTTTCAAGTACTTATCGAGACATCCACTGTCACTGCTTTTGGAACCATCCCGTAAAATAACGGTGTACCGGTGCAGTTCACCCCAAGCAGTTTCCATATACGTTATTATACTTTAATTAGATTTTGCTGCGGGGCATGGAGAATGAATGACCAATTAATCTGAATAAATAGCAATTTCCGGACAATCGCTAAGTTTACGTTGGTATAGGTAAAATTTCCATTTTATTCACAAGCGATGGAAATTAGATGAGAAGAATTACAAGATAGAATTAGATAGTTATGATCGCTTCGCAATCCGGATTTACTATTATAAGGTGCTCCTTTTATGTTTTGCGATTAGACTTGTTACTCCTACACAAAGATCGTATCTGTGTTTTCTCGTGTAATATTAGTAAGTTTAGTAGAACTTTTATCAAAAACATGCTGTATCGAGAACGGCTCACCAACCAAACAGCACAACGTTTCCCGAAACAAATGTCAAAGTAACCAGATAAAGGTACTATTGGTAAAATTGATCCATTTTTAATAAAAAAAATGTGTTTTTGTGATACGAGGATTCACTCGGTAAACTTTCTTCCATGGAAAAGAAAACAAATATGTATAGAGGTCGTTCTGTGGTTTAACGCAAAAAGAGAAAAAATACGTCACTACCTCTGTAACATCTAAAACTTATCCTGTGGTTGTTTCGCTGATAAATCTCCATGTTTCACTAATCATCACATTAAGCCACAGATGTAGAGTTGAAGCCACCGCAGCCTTTTTCAAACGTCAAAACAAAATATGAATGTGACCAAAATACGTATTATAAAATCTTCAGTTCTATATGTGACATCCGTCTCATCTCCATTACTTCTAAGCACTAATAGTTGAGTCGTCAAAAGCGTATAGACATATTTGATAAAATACCTTGTATCTTGAAAGCAAACAATATCAAATGTATATTATTCTTCTCGTCTTATAGATTTACCTCCAGAAGTTTGTCCAGATACTTGTTTAACATCTTGTAAACTTCGAAAATATAATAATACCGAAAGGTGAAAGTACGAGTATAATAAAGCTACAAGCACTCCGATGTAGGTCTCT